CAATAATTGTTCTTTTAAGAAGACAACAGCTCCAAGATACAGTCAAATGTACCCAAGATTATCCATATCACAATTCCCCAAGTTTGTTTATGTTTCTTTTCTTCTCGGCTCATCACACCTAAAATACCTCAAAAATATTTTAAATCCATAAACTAACTTGGTCGATACGGTAAAGGACAAAATCCTAATCTTAAAATCAGGGAAGACTGCAAGAGGTAAACGAATTTTTAAAGCCAGGACATCTTAGATTACCCATCCAAAAATAATTTGGTGGAACCTGTGCCTTTCATCTGTGAAATGGGCCATTCTCTTTCTGTGAGTGGGCCATCTTTTCCTGTAAATCCAAACCAAGGTGGAACTTTCTATTGTTCACAAATTCCACAGATTTGTACTGCCAAACACTCGTAAATATTCCTAGGTCCAATCTGTGCTGAGCCTTTCTCTTGAGGGCCAACAGCACAGGTATTTCTTTGAGCATGTACTTCGAAATTCCTAATAAATCCTTAATGCCTCTTACTGCAACAACTTGAAAATTCAGTGAACTTGCAATTTATTCCACATCTAGGGTGGGTTTGGGTCCTTCATCTCCTTTGGGGATCTCCTTGGGCCTTTTCCAGTGACAAACTGACCTCACCCATGGGGAAGGAAGCAGGCTTGCTAACTTCTGTCACAGAAAAAGAATTTTCAAGAGTCAGTAAGAGGCATAAGGATTTTTATTAGGCAGAATTTAAAATTACACACTCAGAATAGAGTGTGGATTCTCAAGAAAGAGGCACATTGTGGCCTGGAATTGAGCATATTTATGTGTGGAGCAGGCAGAAGTCTGTGGAATATGTGACTTTATAGAGATGTTCATGGGTTTTGGGGTGCTGGAGTCTCCTTCTAGAGGTGTTTTCTAGGTTCTTTCTGTCTTGAACAAAGAACTGGTCCAAACAAGGGCAACTGGTAGCAAAGTTTTGCATTTGTTAAAGCTAGGAAAGAAATACGCTCTGCAGAGTGAGTTGAGCCAAATAAAAGCAGGCAAGTGAGTACGTTCTGCAGAAGAGAGGGGGCTACAGTGAGAGAACACAGCAGCAGAGTTCACTTCCAGCCCTCCTTGTTGGTATCACCTCCTCCTGGATGTGACATCAGGCCTGCAGAAGTCCAAGTGCAGGGCTGTGGGAACTGTCCTGAGCCTGTGTCCTGGGGTTTCCCCAGGCCTACTTCCCCAGGTAGTCTTTTCCCCAGGAGTTTGTAATTATACCTACTTTGCCAGCTACCTCTTCTCACCCAGTTCCCCTGCCTCATTAAGAATGGGTTTAATTTATTGGTGAAAGGCTATGGCCTTTTCTACATATGAAAAGAGGAGGCCCATTCACAGGTGAAAAGGCCATTTTTTACAGAAGAGGAATGGGCCATTCTACAGATAAAAAGCACAAGGCCAGCATTATTTTGTCTCTAAGATCCTGAGGAGTTGTTTGTATTGCTTATTTCTAGTAAGCTTCCTGGAAGAGAAAAGCCCTGAGTACCTTTTGTGTTCTGAAGCTACAGTTTTTCTTAAAAGTGCAATGTTAAAATCATGATTTTTTCTTTGTCTTGTCTTTGTTCTTCTATCCTGCCTCAATCTAATAAACCCATTGTTTATTTTCTTGACAAGAGTAGGGAGCCCAGTGATTGCTTTCTGTGGATCTCTTATGTAGCATTTAAACCATGAGTTTTCTTCCTATGATTTTCCTCTGAAAGTGTCACAGTACAAATGAAACAGCAGACGAAAATACTCTAGGCTACTTTCTTATTATATTGCTGTATCTTCCCTACCAGGAAAGCCCTCATCCTACAGGCTTTTAACATATATTCCATATTTATTCATAGATGACCCAAAATTTGATTGGGGACATTAACTCCAATAATGAATGGCTTGGTATAGACACATTTTATGGTGACTGCTTCCTTTAGGATATTTATTTATTAACAAACATTATTTGTGAATATTTATTTTTCAGATATTTATTTATTAACATAAGAACAAAAGGAAAAGGGGGTAAGTAGTGATATAGAGGGAAAAGGTGCAACTCCCAACCCTGCTAGATATCCGAAGTGTGAGTTTGTGTTCTTTAAAATCAAAGAATGAATTCTAGGAACAACAGAGGTTAAAAGCAGGAAAAATTTATTGAGAGAAAGATAGCTTCTGCCTAAGAGAGACAGACGGGGTACTGGAAAGTGGGTTACCTACTCACCCTGTTTCCCAGGGGCCTTTTATGGAGCAAAGCCATGAGGTAAGCTGTGTTCAAGATGGGACAAAACTATAGTCAACTAGTAAGATTGTAAGTACAGTCCCTTAGGTAATATTGGTCCAATGAAAAATCACAAGGTAGACAAAACTATGATCAACCAATAAGATTACGACAAGCATTTGCTTAGGTAATATTGATTAAATGGGGATCCAATGGGAAAGCAAGTCCTGTAGCAAGTATACAAGGGTTTTCAGTCAGGGAACTTTCCTGGAAGGGGTGGGTAAGATCTTGGTCCCCCACCCAGGTGGTTGATACCTATTTAGAATATCATTCACTGCTATTCTTCCTTAGGGGAAGCATTCAGTGTAGCAGTTTCTCTTTTTTTACAATGCTGACCTTCAGTGAATATGTCTAGATTGTCCTCCATGTTGGGTCCTTGACTGTCCTCCATGTTGGTTCCTCCAAAGCTGCCCCTGTCTAACTGCCTACAAGATATCTAATTAACTTACCTATCTACAATTGTAGCACTTCACTGGAATCTCTCCTGGCCTTTAAGATTTTTGTTGAGAAATTTACTGTATTTCTAATGGGTTTACCTTTATAAGTGATTTATTGCTTTCCCTTAACTACTTTTTAAATTCTATTGTTATGTTGGACTACCAGGATTTTGACCGTGTTGTGTGTCTGATCATGGTTATTTGGAGTTTTATATGGCTCACTTACCTGTATGTTAAATTTTTTTCCCTCATTTGGAAAATTTGCTGTTATGATTTCAGTAAACAGGGTTTTTTAAGCAATTTATACAGTCTTTTGATTTTTCACTAATTCCAATTAATCTTAGATTAGTCTTTTTATGTCATCTAGGAATTGTTGGATCTTTTTTTTTTTTTTTTTTGGTACCAGGGATTGAACTCGGGTGCTTCCGCTTGTGGGGCAGGTGCCAGAAACACTGAGCTAAATCCCCAGCCCATGGATCCATTTTTTATATTCTCTTGTTTTTGAGGTTTCTCATTAATTGGCCATTGACTACAGATTTGTCTTTAGTTCTGACACTCTCCTCAAATTGATCACTTCTGTTGTCCATGCTTTCAAAAGAATTTTTAATCTCCTAAATTTCTATTTGGAATATTTTTGTGGACTCTAATTCTTTTCTAAGCTGGTCAGTCATGTTTTGCATTGTTTTGTTTCAATCTGATAGCTTTTCATTAGTGTCTTCTATAGATTCACTGATCATTTTGTTTATTTGAACCAGTATCTTATTCCTTGTATCTTCTCTGAGCTTGCCAAATGTATTATTGATCTATTTTATCATCCCTAATATTATTTCAAATAATGAAGCAAGGGAGTTAACCAGAAACCCCCCAATAGCCTTCAGCTGAACTATACCCCTTTTCCTCCCCTGACTGCCTGTTCAAAGTGATGTTAACCAGCACCTAGCTTACCTTGTGGTTAAAAACAAAGGATAGGACATGTTACGCTGTGGCCCTAACCATAGATAGGAATTTCCCACCAGATCCCAAATGTTGGATTTTAATCTAACTTGCCATCAGCTTCTGTACCCTGTGCTTGCTCAAATGAGGTCGTGACATTCTATTGTGTGGATTTTTCCCTTTAAAGCTGGGGCTTCCCCTCCACTCGGTACCAAAAGGAGGTTACATGCAGGAGCTCTCCATTTGGTCGCCGGCTATAAAGGACTTCTAATCTGGACATTCTCATGGCATGATTCTTTTTGCTGAAACAGCTATAACATTCTTGGAGACCCCAGTGAGACGACTCCGCCACCGTGAGATGGCCTCCCTCCATGTCTCCCCGCGCAGGAGGCAGGGTGTAGGGGAGGTGCCCCCTGAGATGATCCAGGGCCCTGCATCCCAGATGCTGACCTGAGGGACATGGAAGGACCAGCGATCAAGACAACATTTCTGAGTTCCCAGGAACCCTCCACTTGGAGGTAAGTGTCTCTTGTTGTCTGTTGGTGGTTTCTTTTTGGTTTGGGGGGAAGGACCACCCTGACTAGGGCCCTTCTGGACTGTCTCAAGTAAGGGTCGGGATGCCAACTGGGGAAGCCCCTGGGGTGATTGAGGACTGGAGATGAGAGGTTGGCGGGTGACCCTCAGTGGCCAGTGGTGGCGATCACAGGCAGCCGAGTGGCAGCTGAAGGTTTTTGTTTCGTGTCTGGTCCTGTCTTGTGTCCATGTAGTCTGGGACCTGAATTCTTTTGGACTCTTGGTGAAAGGAAATTAGGAAGGAATAAGAGTTAATTCAGAGACTTGGTTTTGGCTTGGTCTTAAGAATTTGGTGCCTCCTCCCTGTCTAACCTCTTCTCACCACAAGGTCAATTCCTACTGTAGCTTTTTGTGTCCTGGGGAATGATAAAGTTCTCCTAATTCATCTCTTCTGTCATTCACCTGTTTTCCCTCTTGGAAAAACACCCCCCTTCATCTCATACCATGAAGATTTTGTGAGAGGACCTCTCCTAAAACTTCTTATCAGTTTCCTTATTAACTCTAGGCTGCAGTTAGCTTGGGGCCTTGGATCCTATAGGTTTTAGTCACTAGCCCCTGACCTTAATCTGATTTCTGCCTGCTGTTGGTGAGAGGCTTCCCTCTTTAGGGGAACTCTATCTTCTAGCCCCCTGTCTTCTAGGGCCGTTAAGGGATAAGGCTTCTTGGGAATTCTTTTCTTTTGAGCAGTGGCGTTATCAACATCTCTGAGGTCACCTAAAGGAATATCAAGGTCTGGGTTTTCAGCCTGCTCCATTCCCCAGCTTGCTCTGGTGCCTCATTTGTAAGGAGAGGTTGGCTGTGGCCCTTGCCACTTATAAGGGAGGTCTTTTTCTCCTGTGTCAGTCTTGTCTCTGCGGGAGTCAGTTCCACTGGCACTACCCTTGGAAACCCCCTAATGCCTTCTGCGCCATCCTTGGGCTCCCCTTAACCCTTTATGACCCACTTTTGGCCTATAGGTCAACTTCTTGGATGTCCAGGACACAAGATAGATTCACCAGCCATCTCACCATTCCTTGGACCAAGACTCCTTTTGAATTCAAGATTTCTTTTGATCCTTTTCATGATGCCTTGTCTGATTGTGTTTTTTCCTTTTCCTATGGGAGCTTCCCAGGTTAAATCCCAAACTCCCCTCCAATGCATGTTGTCTCACTTCTCTGAGTGTTTTTCTGGCCAACATAGTGTGACCATGAAATAAAGTTGGCTGCAGTCCCTATGTGAAGTACAGTGGCCCAAATTTAATGTAGGCTGGCCAGATGCAGGGTGTCTTGATCCTCAGGTGGTCCTCAGAAGTGACTGGGAAACCAGGCCACCATCATCAGTACCCTTATGTTGACTCATGGTTGTCACTGACCATTCACCCTCCACCTTGGCTGAGAGCCTGTGCCATGAATTGACCTACAGTGAGGGTGCTAGTCTCCCACTCTGCTCCTGCAGTGCCTGGGACTCAAAGACTCCCCTGGGTCCTACCGCCATCAGATGATGGGAAGGATGAATTGCCTCCTCCATATAACCCCCCTAGACCTGTGGCCTCCCTCGAAGTTTCTTCCTCAGGACCCTCAGCCCCCCGGGAGGTCACATCACCCCCCAGTTCTCATCTGAGGTCTCGGGATCAGGCTGCTAGGGAAGCTCCACAATCGGAAATCCCAAAATCATCTGCTTTCTGAGAGACCTCAGGTGTTGTTGGATCTCATGGACTCTATCCTCCGGACCCACCAACCTAACTGTGATGACTATCAGAAATTACTGACAACATTATTTACTGGGGAAGGAACGGAATGAATCAAAGCAGCCACTCAGAAGTCTCTGGTTCCAGCTAGGGAATCAGAGGAGACCCACTGGGTAAGGATTAATCAGACTTTTCCTTCTACTTGACCCAAATAGAGGGCAAATATGGAGGAGAGGAGGGAAGCCTTGAAAAAGTACCACCAAACTCTAATGAATGGGCTCTGAGCAGAGGCTCAGAAGCCTATTAATTTGTCAAAAAAATCACCGAGGTCCCGGCCCAGAGTAGGGGCTTCTGGGCTGCCATCCATCCTGCTGTTGCTAGCCCAGAGGAAGGGGCTTCTGAGCTGCCTTCCCACCCCTCCCAGCTCGGAGGAGGTGAGACACATGGGCACCAACAGCAAGCCCCCACCCGTGTTGAAATGAGAAGACACATAAATAAGTCTCAAAACCGAACTTCCAGATCACCTACACCAACCCCAAAGGGAAACAAGATGGAACACTCTGATACTCAACCACCTGGACTCCCTGAACTGGCAACAAAAGAGGATCTGGAAAAAATGAAATCAGAAATAATTTCA